AAGATTGAGGAATTTGTCCAAGGTCACATAGCTGGAACATGACCTCCTCATCTTTGATTTGAGAGTCTCTCTTCCCTCTACTTTGTTGATCTATCCTTTCATGAAATAAGTGGTATTTGTCCTGAAAACTGAGTTCATTCACTCTTGACAATGACAGGAAAAATAATAAACATACTAGGCAGGGATGTGTAAGCCATAGATGAAAAAACAAAAGTGCTTCTATACTGTTGCAGTGGCTTCTTGAAACTTGGAATCTAGGGAGAAATTAATAGTGCCACCAACTATTACTAGATACCAATAGAGTATCTACTACATATAAAAGTTAGAAAAGAGAGCCCAGAGATGAGTGAGACACAAGTGCCTTCTGGTATACCACAAGCTCAGGGAGAAATAGTATGAGTGTCCACAGCAGGGGTGGATTGTGTGGGGTGGGGTGGGGGTAAAACAGGTAGCATGCGGCAGCTACTGACTGAGTTGCACGGACTAGATATAGTTTTGAGTTTGAGAGGTGATCAGACTCTGTTCAGTCTGGGCTGGGATTAAGCATGCAATGATAGAAACAAGTAAAAGATGAACCAGAAGCACATCACTGGCATCTAACAGTAGGAGAAACTGTACTGTGCTGAAGGTAGGAGTAATCAGAGGAAGTAGAGAGACATGCAGTGATCTCAGGGAGGAAAAAATTGAATGAGGGAAAGAGTGTGAGCAAGGGATTCTGGGTAGAAGGGGGTGTCAAGATCAAAGAAGGAAAAACACTGTAAAACTTGTCTGCAGATGCAGACTAATTTACATTAGCATTGACATTCCAAAGTAGGGAATTTTGTTAGTTAGTGCCCTCTTCAGCAGAAGGACGCAATATAGGAAGGGGCACTATAGAGTCATAGCAATCAGAATTTTCTCCATAACCGTAACCATGAACATAATCATCCCAAGTGTAAGCAGAATCACCCACACCATTGGAAAAATATATCACACACACCCTGAGCAGAATTAGAATAACCATAAAATCACTATAACAATCAACAGAATCATCTTTGCTTTTGCTTTAGACTCCCCAAATTTTCCCATTCCTCAAAACCAGTTGGAGGCCACTGCTCCACCAAGGGAGATCCAGTAGTACACACTAATCTCTGCATCCTCCTCCCAGTGCCCACCTCAACAGAGCTCCCAATAGAGGAGAGCTCACCCACCCATAGGAGATGAAGGAAACAGAGACTTCCTCATGATGTGGCCACTTCCCTAGTCACCAGTGGCAGAACTGAGACACACAGAAAGGTAAGGAGTATGAATGCAGGCCCAACTGATCCCAAAGTCAGCTCCAGACTACTGCATTCTAACACTGCTTCTACCACTGATAGCTGGTGGTGCACACTTTTGTCTGGTTAAAACTGCCTTAAAGCATCATTTTTTTCTGCTATGATCTGTGAAAGTGTAAAGGACCATAGAATACACAGTGTCTTTGTCCCCAGGGATCTAGCAGGAATCTTAGATGGTCTTATTAATAAAATCAAACCTGTGGCCAATTATTGGGGTGAATGCTGGAAGATCAGAGAAGCAGAACAAGCCACAGCTACCTCACCTCGCCAATTCCTCAGCTGATCCTGTTTCCTCAGACTGGAAGCTTCTCAGTCCTCATCTAGAATGAATCTCAGCTGAACTGCTGCTCAAAAGCCTGAAAGCTTAACCAGCCAAATGCTTCTAGTTTCTGGTCTTCACGCCTTATGTATCTTTCTGCTTTCTGCCATCACTCCCTGGGATTAAAGGCTCACTTCTTGGGATTAAAGGTGTGAGTCACCATGCCTGGCTGTTTCCTTGTGGCCTTGAACTCACAGAGTTCCAGGGGGATTTCTGCCTCTGGAAGGCTAGGATTAAAGGCATGTGCTACCACTGCCTAACCTCTATGTTTAATATTGTGGCTGTCCTGTTCTCTGACCCCAGATAAGTTTATTAGGGTACATAATATTTTGGGGAACACAATACCACCACACAGGGACCTGAAATCTAGATAGTTAAAGCATTAAACTAAATGGTTAGAACACAGGGCACATGTGGACACAGTAGATTATAAAATCAACTGGTAGTTACTGAGCATCTAGCATGTTCCAGGCATGTTACTAATACTATAAACACATGCAGAAAGAACCCAGCCTCTCTAACCTATGTGGGAGTTAGCTCTTCAGCAAGTAAATTTGCAAATGGCTGTATAATTTACAGTGTAAAACATTAGGGAGAGAAAAAAAATCCCATATGCCATGAGAGAGAATAACAGGGGTACCTGTTATAGATAGGAAGGTCAGAGGAATCCCTCCCAAAGTGTCACTACAGCTGAGATTTGAAAGATGACCAGGATGTAGCAAAGTATAGGGAGGGTGAGACCCAGAGACCAAGGATTTCTGGTCAGAGCCCCAAAGCAGGAAGAAAATGGGGATTTAGAGAAACCCACCTAGCCAAGGCAGCCATCTGGGTGCTTCTAGCATTTCCTGTTTGAGGAGGGAGGGTTCTGGAACCCCTGTGACCCACCCTCTGAATGCCCTGGGCTGAGCAGATGGCTCCCCTTCTGCCTCCACCCCTGGTTTATTGTTAATGACGTTATCCTCAGCTGCAGCGTGAGCTCTGTCTATTGCTTTGCCCGTTTTCTCCTTTTGATCATGGTGGGAGCTCCTGGACCACATGGGTAGCACTGCTCTGGTTCATCTCCTTGTCTAAGCCCCAGGTCTGAGTGGCTTTCATTTGGGTCTCCTCCTCCACAGCCTCCAAGGGAGCTAGGACCTGGGAAAGACTCTAAATTGTATACATTATTTCCTTTTTGATTAGGTGAATAAGTAACTTGATTGAGATGCATCTCTTTGGAGGGCGCTGCTGGCAGGCTTCCAGGAATGGGAGACAGCTGGCCCTGAACACAGAGGGGACAGCAACAAAGGCCCCAGGGACAGACACATGGCTGGGAGGCTTGGGATCCAGCCCAGCAGACTCCAAAGAGCACTGGCCAGAAACCCTGGAGCAGGGGTGGGGGATCTTTCTCCCTTTCCTGTCTATGAGAGGGAAGGCTGGGCTTAGGGATACTTTCTCAGCTTTGGATCTGAATTGGTCTGTTCCAGCTCCTACCCTCCAGTCAGACGAGCTGCACTGGGAAGGAATGGACCCAGGCTCGGGGAAACTGACAAGTGTTGTAAGGCCCAAGTGAGAAGGTGTAGGGGATAGTTCTTCATGTGCAATACCTGACGATTTTACAAACGGCCTTTTAAAAATAGTTCTACATGGCATGCGTTTGCTGGGCTTTAATCCAGACTCTTCTTCCTCACCCTAAATTTAATATGTGAGTCTAACCAAGGATTTCTTTGCATTTTACTAACCAAGAGCTATATCCCTGACCACTAGCACAGCTGACCACAGTGACCCCATCAGGTAGACTCGGGCAGTAATTACCTGTGACACTATCTAGCAGAGAACAACTTCAGTATATGTGGAAATGACACTGAGGGAGCTTATATGACTCTCATAGAAGCCCCACACCAGGCCACTAACCTTGAGAATCCTTACTCTGAAGGCAAGTGAGGTAAGCTGTTCCCTGGCCCTTAGTGTAGAAGTCAAGATTTAAGACATCTGGAATAGGCCTTTCCGTAAATAGTCCCTTCACTTTTGTCTTGATGGTTACTGATCTATGACTAAAGAACTAGTCCTTTGAGTAAAACTATGATGAATGGCTTCAGGGTTAAAATATCCCTAAGATAGAAAACATTTTAATTCAATTTGCCATTAACCCTTTGTTTGGGTAGAAACGAGCTCATAACTACCCCCTGGGAGTAGTCTGTAGGGACCAAGCAAAAGAAGACAAGAGAGATGAGGACATGAAGCAATCTGATGCCATTTATGTGGCACATTATGATCCCAGGAGAGTCCTGGAGCTATCAGATATGGCTTCCTTTTGCAGTTTCAATCTTTTTGAAATTCTTTTTTGATCTAACAACTTCCCGTACCTCAATAGGAAGTCAGGAGCATGAAACCGTGCTTGTGAAATGCCACCCTGGAGAGCCTCTGAGAGAGCTGCTTTTGAGTGTCTGGGCTTGCAGGGTGGAAGGAAGGTCAGCACAACCCTTTAATGGCTCTGGTCGGTGGTATTTGGCTCTCTTAACTCCTAGGCAGGAGAGGTCTTGCTTAGGTCCTCCCTGGGCAAGGCCATCACTCAATACTCATCAGCTTGCTTGTTTCTAAGAAATCCTTGCTGTGTATTAGGAAAAGCAGAATGCAAAGCCATATTTTCAGCTACACTAAACTCAAGAGGATGAGGAAACTGGCAAAGGGAACAAAGAGTCTGACCTTGAATTGAAACGGACAGAGGCTGCAAAGATACTTCTTCAGAACATTCTTCATTTGTGTCAGGCCAGCTTCCATGAAAGGGAAGACTTCTCACCCATAAGAGTACTGCCTACTGTGACCCTGACCACTAGTCTCCATACACATCCCAGCTATTCTTTGTGGACTCCAATGTAGTCCTCTCCTTGTGCATGAACCTCATGCTTCAAGGTTCAAACCAAAGATGGTCTCCTATGACGAAATAAAATCTATGCGACCAGAAGAATTAGGTCTATTAACTTGATGCCTGGCATATAACTGACATCTAGGAAGTAGCCAGTGAACACTTTTGAGTGAGTGAGTAAGTCATCTAGTTTCTGACTTCTTGCCTGAGTAGACCTTTCCTGGTCTCTCACTGTAGTCCAGCAAACACCATCAGTCCTGTCCCTCTGGCAAAACACTTAATCTGCAGTTCCCTTAGATCATGATGGCATTGTACTGTGCTCACCTCAATCACTGTACTGGGGCAATCATTAGAGATCAATTATCCAGAAGTATAACTAACTGTTTTTCTAGTGGTATAGGGTTTTCTCCTCTGCTGTAGTACAAACAAACCAACTAATATGAGGAACTAATGAGCTTTTTCCTATTAGGCATTAAGAGGAGAAAAAAAAAGCTTACCTATTGTAGGATGCAAGAGTCAGGTGACCAAACTCTTCATTAAATGTGCATGATACCTCAGGCAGATTCACTGAAGTTACCTTCGTGTTCTAGTTTTATAATTATGGTAAAAATATTTAAATTGCTTCGACAAGTACAGACTTTTGAGTGTTTGCGAAGCATCATATGTTTTATCTTGTTTCTTGGCACTGCAGCGTAATTAGTGTAGTGAAATCACTCTCTGGGACTCTGAACTGGATGACGTCTAGTTCTTGGCATTTCCAAGAGGCTCAAGTTCAAAGCTCTGTACCCTTTCACCTCTGTGCAGGATGGCTTCTTCAAGGTGGAGCCAACGATTTTTATGTTCCATAATCAGATGAATCATAAAACACAAAGTCATTCACATGAGATGACATGAAAGAAAAATCCAACGGGATTCACTCACCCTTCAGAAACATGACTGCCTGAGGGAGAAGTTTGTAACACTCACGGTGGTCCAGGGTTGTGATGTGTTATTTTGACAAGAGTGTCTTCTTTGTCCCCTCAAGTCACAGATCAGGGTTGGTGAGCCCTTGCATGGCATCAGGCTGACTTTGCGTGTGAGTTGGAGTCTCTGGCACTAGATCTTTTGATTCTGGAAGGAATTACAGGAGAGTGAAGGTTGAGCTTTAGGTTGAGTCCTAATGAAGGAATGCAGCTCAAGGACTTTAGGCTGCCATATTACTTCGGTTTCCATTATAAGATATGACATGGAAGCTGGTTTGTTATACTACTTTTGAAATATGAGGCTCACAGAGGTGCAGCGACTGGCCCAGGGAATCCCAAAAAATCCATTAGCCAAGATATGTGGCTACATCCCTCAGTCCCTGCTGCCTTCCCCTCTGAAAGTGCCTTTGAACTTCGACGATTATGACAGCATCTGCATCCATGTTACATCACCAGTTTCACGGGCTTGAACTGAGTGGAAAGCATATGATTTCACATGGAAAGAATTCTGGGCAAGAAGACAGTGAACCAACGTTCTAATTGCAGCCCTTTTGAGGGAATTGCTTCCACATTCTGGCCTGTTTCCTAATGTTTACTTCAGAGGCTTGGTTGGGGAAAGTTCTATTTGGTCCAAGGACCAACTATATCCACATCACCTGGGTCTGTGCCTATATAGGCATATCCTTGGACTTCCTGAAGACCTTTGGAATCAGAGAGTGTGGTAGTGTGGGCCAAAGAAACCATCGCAAGAAACAAGTTTACCGGGTTATGATTGTGTGTTCTGAAGTGCAAACTACAAACACAGGACAAGGCAGACTGTTGCACTGCCATGTGGAGAGACCATCTAACACCTTCTAGTGTTACGCATATAATTATTGAAAAGTGCACAAGGATGAACAACTAGGAACCGAATCTCGGGTTCATTCCCCATGTTTTTCATTCATCACCTATCTATCCCTATTCTATGATGAGAGGGGGTGCATTTTATTTCATTCTGTTTTAGAGGCTATTTTAGAGAAGCCCCTAATGGTGGACAGAGAAGAAAAAGAAAGCCTCTTGCTCCCAGGGAAGAGAGAGAGAGAGAGAGAGAGAGAGAGAGAGAGAGAGAGAGAGAGAGAGAGAGACTATAAA